TGACTAGAGATCTAGACCTTTCTATGAAGATCTCTTGTGACCACAAAGTCTGTCAGGGTCTGGACATAGAAGTCATCTCTGAGTTCATGTGCTTTTTGGCACCCACGTTGTCTACTTATAGCAGTAGTCATTTAAATGGTTCTGGGTCAAGAAGAATAGCTTCACACCACCAATCCATCTGCCCTCGTCTATGGTTCCTGAACACAGTGGTCTGATCAAAAGCAGAGACTTGGAGAAACCATGGCCCCCACTGTGGCCCAAGATCATCATTAGATGATCTTAGAGCGGGGAGGAGTGAGTTGGACTCTGCCGAAGACAAGGGTCTGGATAGCTGGGAGGTGAAACACATGACTCCTGGATGTGTGGAGGTTTAGCTGAATGCTCCAAGGAGTTTTCCCTTGAGGATCATGCTCTCCTAAAACTAGTTTCCTTGGAGATCCATCCTCCACACTCTTACAACCAGGGTGGTTTTCAAGAAAGTAAAATATGACCGTTTCACTCCTCTCCCTTAAAAGTAGGGGTTCTTTTTTTTTTGAAGATTTTATTTATTTATTTGACAGAGAGAGACACAGTGAGAGAGGGAACACAAGCAGGGGGAGTGGGAGAGGGAGAAGCAGGCTTCCTGCTAAGCAGGGAGCCCCATGCAGGGCTCGATCCCAGGACCCTGGGATCATGACCTGAGCCAAAGGAAGACACTTAACGACTGAGCCACCCAGGTGCCCCGAAAAGGAGGGGTTCTGATGAATGTTAGAATAGAACCCCAAAACCTTCAGTTGCTATCAGAGCTCTTCGTTGTCTGGCCTCTGCCGCCAACAGCATCACCTCCCACGCTGGTCATGGCACCTGCAGGAGTCAGTTTTCCAGGGAAACAGAACCAATAGAATATCTCCACCTGCATCATTTCTGTAATCTGTGTCTATGTCTATAAAGATTTCTATCTATCAAGAGGTTTAAGTTACCCATCACAGTACCCTTCCTAGTTTGGTTTATAATGCTTGTTTCTACTTTTGCCCATATCATACCACTCTGCAATTTGAGTCTACTGGGAGAGGCTTTAAACTCCTTTAAGATTCTGTTAGTGACAGAGTTTAAAACAGGATGGGGGGTGTTATGAGGGCAGGAAGAACAGAAGAGAAAATACAGGGTGTGGAGAGGGGGAAAGGAAGAATGGTATGACCCTGTGAGCAGAATATACTGACACCCTGGAGGTGAAGTCTGCAGGTCTAACACCTGATACTGAGCTTTAGAGACACTCTGGCAGCCAATCCTGAGTCTACCCCAGGGCACCCCCTGGGCCATGGCTGGGGCTACAAAAAAGGGGCTACTTCTACCCCAGCCACTGGAGTCTGCAATCCCCTGATGGTCACGGCCAGCTCTAACCAGCAGCTTTGGCACTGTCAGAGGCACAAACCTCCTCCCCTGCCCAGTGGTCTGCAGCCAGCACCTCTCACTAGCCGAATCTAACAGGAAACCCACTGGCCAGGGTGCTAGGCAAATTCGGTTTGCAAACTGGCAGCTTTAGGATGTAGGTCAGAGAGACTTCTACTTTGGAGGATCTCCTGGAGGTTCTGATCCTGAAGATTGTACTGTTGCCTTCATATTTCCTTTTTCAGCCTCTTTGTCAAAGCAGCGGTAAAAGTTTTAAATAAGTTAATCTGTTGCCAAGCAACTCACTTTTATATCAGCACAATTCCCATTGCCAGTGCTGGCAGTTTTAATTTCATCAGTGACAAAGTACTGGCAGGTTTTAAGGAATTAGACATACACCTACGATACTCAGAGAGGCTTTTTTTTTTTTTTGGTCCTAAAAAAGTGCTTGTTTTCATTACTTTAGATACAGGCTTCTAAGAAGCTAAAGAGTGAAGTATCTCTCTTTCCAATCGGTTACACCATATATTTTATAGGCTTTTCACTGCTTTTTCTTTTTAGAATGAAATAAACTTAGTGACTTAGATAAAGCGCTCCCCCCTTCTTCCTCTTCCTCCCTCCTCCCTCCTCCCTCCTCCTCCTCCTCCTCCTCCTTCTTCTTCCTCTTCTTCTCCTCCTCCTTATTCTACTTCTTCTTCCATGTTTTTCTGCTGAGTCTTAATCATATTCCAGATTTGCCTTTATTTCTTAAAAAAAAACAATGTTCAAAGCTAGATGACAAAGCAGAGATTTGGGACAATGCCATTCAGCTGCTATTTGGTCTTTCAATTAGAACAGTTTCCTTGTATTCTTCACTAAGAGACATATACGCACACACACACACACATGCATATGCACACACAGAAGTGTGCATTTTTTCAACCTGTATAACTAAAGGATGGAGATTTGTTGAATGTTCTGTTGTTGATAAATGCTATTTCCAGCACTATCCATTCATTAGTTCAGCCCTGTGTGGGTGGTTCGTGTTTTCCTTTTGGTCATATTGAGCCCGTTTTACAGATGAAGAGTGAGGATCACAGAAGTTAAGTAACTTGCCCAAGTTGCACCTGTCATTGCTGGAGAAGGAATCAAGCCCAGGCGCGCTGGTGTTAAGTTCTGAGACCATGTCACTGTCCTATGATGGTCTCACATCACGAGGGGCACGTGTAGTGCTCATCTCATGCTTATGACCACAGTGAAGTTGATGAGCCCCAAGGTCCTTTTAAAATATGAGTGTCTAAACTATCATGCTATTTTAGTTTTGTTTAAAGTTATTTCTTTCCTCACTGAGCTCCTAACCAAAATACTCTCACATGCTCAATTACAGCATAACAGTGAGCCTCCAGAAATGAGAGGATGGAGCTATGAACAATCACTCAAGAATTCTCATCCTTGCGACAGAGTCTGTCTGAGCGGCAGCTTCAAACTGGGTCTACTTTATGAACATCTTAAAGACATGGTATCAAGCGATGGCAACATGTCAGTCCATATGGTTGTCCTACCAATCGGACATGTTGACCTAACATTCTGGAAGAGAAAATAAATTGCATCATTCCGCTGTCTTCAATGTCCACAGACTCAGCTAAAATTGACTGTATCTTTGACCGACTCTATCTCTGATCTGTGTTTTTTGCTTTGCTGCCACAACCGCACAGTTTGAGGGCAATGCCTAAAACAGGAGCAAGGGTTTCCTTCTGTTTTTATTTGTTCTTGTTTTTTTGTTTTTTGTTTTCCCTTATTGGACTGACCAAGACTTAAGAGACAGGGAAAGCAAGGCGATTTTTTTGGTTATGTGTATTAGGATCCTGCCACAAAACTACCAACTTTGCAGCCCATTACCACCTAGTGCTACTTCCATTCCCCCAGTGGAATCATTGTCCATTGCCTCTTCAAGTACTTTACTTTATATTACATTTGTTGCAGTGTATTAAAATGCTTGCACCCTAGGAGATGTGAAAATGTAGCTATAAACCTTTGAACTTTGAGAGGGAAGTTGGGGAGTCCTTTTGCATGCAGATGGTGGAAGAAGAAAAGGTCATTGTCAAAGTGAATTAGGGCACATTGAGTCCAACGCCAAAATTCAACATTCCTCCTTTCAGACCTGATGCCACTTTCATCTCTAATTCACACCTTTGAAATGCAAAAGTCTGAAATATGTTCTGCAGAACTAGCAGGCATCTGTAAATGTGTACTTGACCTTCTTCATAGCAGCCTTTTTTCTTCTCTCCAACATGCACTTATCAGATGCTAAGCTGGGGAGTTTTCTTCCATACTAAATTTCCTAAAGTTTGATCACTGTCCTCTATATCTCATGAAGCATTTGAAAATGCATTAAAATGTATCAGCATCTTTAGGGGCACCTGCATGGCTGAGTCGGTTAAACAGCTGACTCTTGATTTCTGCTCAGTCATGATCTCGGTGTCCTGGGATCTAGCCTCATGTTGGGTTCTGTGCTCAAGAGGGAGTCTGCATGAGATTCTTTCTCTCCATCTCCCTCTACTCTCATCCCCTCCCCCTACTCACTCTCTCCCTCTCTCTAATAAATAAATACATCTAAAAAATGAAATAAAATAAAATAAAATGCATCAGCATCTTTCAAGATAATTATTCACTCAAGCCTCACAGCAGCCTTATCCTTTCAGGCTGTAAACTGTTCAAGTAGGGATGAAGTCCCGCGCTTTCTTCCTCTGCTCGCCCCACACTCACCATACAGCCCCCAGCACAAGCAGGCACTCTGCGGGCCATTTTAGCAGGAGCTGAGAATGCACTCCTCTGCTCTCCTTTCTCTTCAGATCCGCCTGCCTGCAGACAGGATAGATTCCTAGGGGTTGGCTATGTCCTTGCACGAAGAGGCCATCCACTGGCAGTGATCGGGTAAGTAAGTATGTCCAATTCTAAGAGTCAGGATAGAAGCCCACTGCTGCCAAAACCTAAGTCATATTCTCCAGTGTGGCCTTTCCCACTATATTTGGATTTTCATCTTCCTGGGTCCTGTGACTGTCTCTCTGTCAATTCAGAACTTTGTTGAAGAGATAGCTGTGGACTTCTCCAACTCTGAAGTGTCAATCATGAGCCCATCATGGTACTAATTCAGTGCATTTGCTCACTGAATGTTTATAAAAGTTCTTACAACTCACAAACAGGGAGAAGGTACATCAAGGACTTAAGGAAAAAACTTGCCAGAGTTAAATAGTTCATTAGTGGCAGAGCCGAGTGTTCCATCCAGTGCTGCTTGAGTGGAAACCCCGTATCATTTCGACACCCATCGAAGACCTTTTAATTATCCCTGACTCCAGCCCATTTCTCCACTTGTGTTTCTTGGTGAGCCAGGATACCTATCCCAAATGTGTTGGAAGAAAGTCTCCGCTGGGGATCACTTCTAGAGACTGCCTTTCAACACTATGTTCTTTCCATGGCACTACTAGGCAGGACCTGTAGAGAGGCAACTGGACTCTGGGCTCTCCTCCAGCTTTTTTTCGTTCGGTGGGTAATCTCAGATTCAGTCTCTGGGTAATCTACCGTCGCCTCTTTACTTTCGCTTCATCACCAAGGACCTGTGTTACATCACGGTGCTTCCTACTCCTGTGAGAAGCAGCAGATTCTGATGGGAAAGAAGCCCTTGCAAGCAGCAGAGTGATCTTCCACAGTCCGTGACTACGACCAGGTTTGTGAGTTTCTTTTCCATTCATTTATTTATTATGTCCTTGTAAAAAATATGTTGGGCCTATGTAATAGAAAATGTTCTGTAAGTGCAAATTTAAAATAATAACATGGGAAGGGCTAAATGTTTGTGTCCCCTCAAAATGTGTATGTTGAAATTCTAACCCTCGATGTTAGGGCATTAGGAGTTGGGGCCTTTGGGGGGTAATTAGGAGATGAGGGCAGAGCTCTTATGAAGGAGGTAATTGCCCTTATAAAAGGAACCTCAGAGAGCTCTTTTGCCCTCATTGTGCCCTGGCAGGACACGAAGAGAAGTCAGCAAGCAGCCTGCAACAAGAGAGAGAAACTGCCTCACTAGAACTCTGATCAGTCTGATCTCAGATCTCCAGCCTCCACAACGGTGAGAAATAAATTTCTGTTGTTAACAAGCCAAGCAGTCTATGATACATTATTATAGCAGTCTGAACAGACTAAAATATAGTCTGAGCAAGCACCTTTCACAATTGTCTCTATGCCTTTTCTTAAATTAAAATGGAATCTGAATATAATTTCCAGATCTCTTCAGAACCCTGACCTGCCAAAGGCAGATAAAATTCTTGATGTCTTTTTCAGAAAAACAGGAGGCAGAGTTAAGGTTTGGGGTAGCTGTCCCTCTCTTGGCTTAAAAGGCACATCACTAGACTGGTTTGGAGGGAAATCAGATACTGCGTTCCTTCCCTTTGAGGATACACCTTGAAGCTGCTGGTTGTATTCCATAATACAAAAAACAGACTGCAGATTATAAGAATCTAGAGTAGGAGAAATAGTCCAGATCTCTCTGCCGGATGAGACTTTTACCAGCCATGTGGAAACACTTTAGGTTGCTCAATCACTGCAGCACTGAAATATTTTAAAATTCCGAGCCATGTGTTGCCACATACTAAACACAGTTTCAGCAAACCATCCGCTGTGGCTTTCTCATGGAATCAGTCTATGGATTGTCAGAGGTTCCGGATTTGCAAACCAGAAAGAGCAGCACTTCATCAGGTCTTTGAGAAGGCCCCCAGGGAAGGGAGGCATTCCTGCTTTCTTTTTTCCTGTCTATGTAAACTCCCAAAACACTTATTTCAGTCACCTGGATAATAAGTTATTGCTGTGAGTTTCTTCTACATTACATTTAATGAGAATCACATAGGTTGTTGGAAGAGTTTGAGAAGAGGTAGAGGACCAGAGCAAAGCAGAACAATGGGGGCGGGACCTCCTTGGGGATGGTCCCCACTCAGAGGGAGAATGGCTATTGTGTTTCTGGTCTAAGAAAGCAGATTTTCATAATAGAGAGAATATTTTCTTTTTATTTAGGGCTGAATGCCAATGCTGTCATAGATGCTTTAAAAGTTTTATTTTTTTGCATACTCAGTTCCCTCTTCCTAAAATGCTGTTCCTCTCCATATCTACCCTGTTAGTTTCTTATCTGTGATCATTAGCTTGAATGTCACCTCATAGAAACATTCATTCCATGGCACATATCTTTCCCCTGTGCTCTCTGGTGTCTTGTGTCAACCTCTATCAGGTAAGAATTATAGCTGATAGTGCACTTGTAGACTCCAGCTCAAGGGAATCGCTCTGTATTATTAATTTCTGTGCCCCCAAGAGCCAGCACAGTACCTGGAAAAGAGTAGTCACCCAGGAAGTATTAGTTGAATAAATTGGTGGATGGATGAATGATCATAATTGAAGTTATTACCTGCATGTGTATTTCTGCTGTATGATCCAAATCCGTAACAGTTTTATCCAACTTACTCAAATTTCTCAGTATCACAATCATAATAGACATGACATCTAGAGTTTGCCAAATCCTCATGAAATCTGGGGTCAGAACAATGGACCATGTTGGAAATAGTGGGTCAAATCATCACCTCTTTACCTGCCTAATAAAATTAAGTTTTGAATAAACTTCTCCTCGGTTCTGATACTATATTTATAGGATTTTTATTATTTTGAAATTTAGCATATATAAAAATAGTATATGTAATGTTTTTGTATGATTTAAGGGATGATAGTTGTTATTAAAAGATAATAATAATATAAATACTCATGAACCTCCTATCTAGCTTAGGAAATAATGGACTGTGGTCTTCATCAACTTGGATATGAAATTCAAACATTTGGCTCTGTCTTAATTATAATCACAATTTATGAAAAGTTTATATTTTATTTAGTGAACATGATTAACATTAGCAAAACCATAAACAATCATTTAAGACTATTATCGAGACCTAGACAGCTAATGTAATGCTCTTGTCAACTCTGTGATATCCACTGTATTTCGTGCTTTATTTCCTTGCTTCCGTGGTGTGTGGATTGCTCCCAGGTCTGTGTGTGAGTGTGTGAGTGTGTGTGTGTGTGTGTGTGTGTGTGTTTCTTAACCACCCATGTAGCCTTTTGCCTGAACCCTACACCTGCAAGTATCTAACTGTCTGATGGACATTTATATCTGTAGACACCACGGGTCCTCAAACTCAATGTAACTAAAACCACATTCCTTAGATTCTCTCAGGACCTCCCATAACCTAATCTTCCTTCTCCATATCCTGGTTGGGTCACTGACTCTCCCACACTACACATTCGGAGTATCATGAATTTCTCCCTCTCTTTTCAAAAATGCAATGCGTCACAAAATCCTTTTTTCCTCATGGCTTCTTTTGTTCGTGAAATCCTGCACACAATTTTTAGGATGATGTTTTTAAAGAACTTTCTAGCCAATAACTCCTCAGGTTAAGCAATAAACAGACCACAAATTTTGATGGATCTCTGTGGCCTATGATCTAAAGAGATCAAGGTGACAACTCAGGAGCCATCATGAGGGAACCCCGGTGAATTAAGGTGTGGCTTTCTGACCTCAGACAGAGATCATAGACTGTTTATTTGGGTTTAGCCATCCCAGAAAACAGAGAGGCAGAATAGCTGTCGTTCAGGGGGAGGACTAATGGCTGGTCGGGACCACAGACTTGAGGAAAAGTAGTGCCCAGGATCCCTTGGGCCACCCCCCTCATGTTCTATCAGAGCATACATGTTGCCATCATATCGTTCCTCTTTCTTCTAGAATATGTAGTCTTAATTTCACCCAAAATATCCAGAACTTTCTCCTCATTCAAATTTAGCAAAGACCTGTAAGGACTGGTTATTCATTTTGTATACTCGGTACAGAATAAACTCTGCAAAGAAGTCAATGCATCTTCCTTGAAGAGGTTTGCATGAAAGAATTTTTTATTTATGATTACATGATTGAACCAAACCTGCCCCAACCAATCTCATCATTCCCCCAAAGGTAAAAACACCTCTAATGGCTTCTCGGACCTGTAGAGTGTTAGACAGTTTACTGGGAGGTTTCATATGCATCAGCTGCATATATTCCTCTAAAGAAAGAAGGGCACTTACGATTATGCTGTTTAATGGAGTTTGCAAAAGAAAATGGAGGTTTCCAGTCTTCCGCTGTTTTGGGAGGTGCTACATTGCTAATACCCAAGAAAGACCAGATGAGAAGCCAGATGTCTGGACTTTGCAGTGCCCTTGATTCGATCATGCTATGTTTTATTTTTTGTTGTTGTTTCGTTTCTCTAAAGCAATGGATCCTGTTGTCTTTGCCTCATACTTTATTCAAGACAGAAATGTTTGTTTGAAAGGGTAATGGTTTATAAAAACCTGGGTTAAAGTCACGCTCTTTTGATATATTTGCTGTATGACACTGGGTGGTTTATTTACCATCACTGAACTTCAATTTCTCATCTGTGAAAGAGCAGTGTTACAATCAGCATCCTGATGCTGTGGTGAGGATCACACAGGTCACTATGAGGACACTTGGAAACATCATGTGTATTACCTATGCTGGGGATTGCCAACATGATGGCAACTCCCAACCAGGGTGTCCATACGAGGTCATCACGCAGCTTGTCCCTAAGGCCTAGATTCCTGCTTTCCATTTGGGCCATATACCGTGAAATTCAGTGCCCTTGAAGGGCTTTCCATGTGATACCTCCCCAGGTGTGCCTTATTCCATAGTTCACAATTAGACTTAAGCCTTACTGAAGGACTACGTTATTAGATATTGTTAGAAGCCAACCACCTAAATGGTATTAAATTACAAGTATAATTCAGTTGGATTCAACGAATATTCACTGAGCACCAGATATCATGTGTATAAAGAGAAATAAAGCAGGGTTTCTGCTTTCAAGAGTACAATGTATATGTAGTCAGGAAGATAAATGTAAATAATTGTGTAACAGTGTGTGACAAATACTATACACACACACACACCAAGGGCTGTAAGGACACAGAGGAGGGAAGTGTAAATGGCTCTGCTTGGTCAGAGGACAGGTTTCAGGAAAGCCACACAGAAGAGATGCGTTGGATCAGGACCCCAGAAAAAGAGAGGAGGTTCCCTGGGTAGGAAAAAAATTGGGAAACAAAATATTATAGGCAGAGAGAACACCACCTAAAATATCAACCAAGGTGTTTTGGTTGGAATCTCACTTCTTACTCCCTATTTCACCTTGGGTAAATTACTAGACCCATCATCTACTTTTCTTATTTGTGAGCTGATTCTAATAATGTCTACCAAGAAGGTCTTAATATAGATGAAATGATACTGTGAATTTTCACCAGTTTAATGCTTGGTACACAGAACTAACTCCATAAATGTCACGTATCAATGAGCAGATGCGTGGCTTCTTCATGGAACACAAAGAACGTGATGGCAGCAGTGTGGTTTGGCATTTTACTGAAGGTCTCTGTGGTTAAAATCCCCTGGAGACTCCCAGTGTGGATGCTTGGCTGAATGTTGAAGACTGGGAGAGCAGCGGTTATGAGCAGGTTTTGTTGTGGGTTTGCTTCTCATTCAAACTGCTAAACTACATCATTGGGGTACACCTCTACCCTCTTTCCTGGGGACTATTCCCTGTTCATGTCACTGAGGACTTTGTTGGGCTTCTCAGAGCTGAGGTCCCTGGCCTCACTTGGTATGGCGGCCATGACTTTCTCAGCACAGCAACGCATCCGCTCTGCCACGGTGCACGTGGCCAGCCCGACAGCAGCATAGCTGGAAATGCTCTCCCAGTAATGACCACCGTCCACCCTGGGTTAATGTTTCACGTGATTGAGGTTATATTAGTGAAGCCGAATTCCAAGACCATTGAATTATGCACAACAGTTTCCAAAGATGGTGGTCCAAACTTCTGTGCTGGGGACTTTCCGCTTTCCCCCGACCCATGGGCACCTCCACAGGGTTGTACCCCTGACCTGGGAAATACTTCTCCAGGATACAACGTGTGAAGTCGGTACCTCCCACCAGGCACCTGATGGAAGACAAGTCAACTGCTCGCGCTCACTGGGCAGCTGTCTTCAAATTTAAGCCCTCCTGAGCAGCAAAAGGGGCCACAGAGAGAAGGTCCCGAATCCATGGTGTTAACTCACCATTAATAGTGCTGCCTTCAGACTACCACGCTGTGGACTGGCCCTCTGGTTTGTGGTTTTGTTTTTTAACTCCCAGCTCAGGTTGGGAGCAATAAGTTTAGCCACCTGAAACAACAACTTTTGCCTAATCTAGAGTGATCTATTTCCTCAGCGAAGATTGCTTTTTGCGCTATTTTTATTTTTAAAGGGAGTTAACATTTAACATGCATGTTAGCTAGTTCCTGGCTGCCTGAATAGGTCTGTTTGTTTGGGCATGTCCGGCTGCCAGGCTGCTGAGCCCTGCTTTCCTCAAGGTTCAGGAAGCTCTAAATATTAATGAGGGCCAAAGACCTGTGCATTTGGCAACTCCTTCCCCACCATGCACTCCATTAAACACAATTTCCGAAGGCATTTCATAACTTAGAAACCTGCCCGGGAAAAGCACAGCACCACTACAATTCTGCATGATGGTAATTTCTAAAATGTCATGTATGCAGAAGGAACTGGTGATCTGACAGATGTTCGGTCAGTGGTTTACACTGCGCAGCTCAGAGCACTTGGATAGATGAGTGGTTCTCCGAGTGCGGTCTCCAGGTCAGTGGCATCAGCATTGCCTGGGAAATCTGTTAGAAATGCAAATTTCTGGGCTCTACCGCTGCCAATCTGCTGAGTCAGAAACTCATCAGAAATCCTGGGGCGGGGCCCAGCCATGTGGTGATTGCATAGCAACATGCAAATACTGCCTTCCTATCTGTGGGACCAGAGTTGCTCTTGCAAGGGACATACAAGTGTCCTTTGGGAAGTTTAGGATTGGGGTGCGGGCAGCCCTCTCTATTGCATTCCCAGTTCTTCCATTGATTAGATTCTTACCTTAGTAACATTCCTGAGCCTCACTTTGCTCATTCGTAAAATGGTGTCAGTGATACGATGTGCTCTGTTTAACTACTTGTGTTGTGATATTGTTAATAAAAAATAACGAAGTTTTTTTATTCTAAATAATAAAATAAATACTGGTAAAGTGCCTTGAAACCCTGAGAGTGTTTCACGTAGTTAACACTTATGTCAGCACCTTGGTGCCAGGATTCCCCTAGTTAATCAGCCTCACCAGCTATACTGGGACATCTGAGACACAGGACACGGAGTCCAATCAAAGTGCAATATTACTGTGTCCTATCGAAGATGACAAGAAACACTCATTGCAGGTTTCTATTAGATGGAAAAATGAAGAGGGTGTTCAGTGGAACCCAAAGAGACTTAGAGAGATGAAGTAGACAAGCAGAGGAACAGCAGGTACCTCTTGGAGGCAAGAGAGCAGGGTGTGTTCACCAGTGCAGAGCTGAGTGTATCTGGAGCAGAGAGTGTGCATGAGTGTGTTTAAATACCTGTGTGTGTGTGTGTGTGTGTGTGTGTGTGTGTGTGTGAGCACATGACTGAAAGATGACAGAGGGAGACAGGGTAGTGTGGGAGAGAAGGGATGGAGAGAGGGAGGAAAGTAGGGACAGAGAGAGAAAGAGAAAAACAGAGATGGAGTGAGGGGCACCTGGGCGGCTCAGCTGGTTCAGCATTGGACTCTTGATTCCAGCTCAGGTCATGATCTCATGGTTGTGAGATCGAGCTCCACGTCGGGCTCTGTGTTGGGCGTGGAGTCTGCTTGAGATTCTCTTTCTCCCTCTCCCTCTGCCCCTCCTTCCCCCCAAAAAAGAAACAGAGATGGAGAGAGACTGAAGCAGATACTGAAAGAGACAGAGAATGTCAGACAAAGAGAGATAAGAAAGAGGAAGGGGGCAGAAGGGAAAGGAGACTATAACAAGGAAGAAGCATCTCTATGGCATCTTAACAGTGTTTGCCCAATTATCAGTAGCAACCCCTATTTGTACTTATCTATGCTCCCCTCAGTCCTCACACCCAGTCTGCGAGGTTGACCCAGGAGGAAACGGAGGCCCAGAGGACACAGTTTCTTCTCTCACCCATACGAGCATGAGAAGAAGCTGAGGCAGAAGCCCGAGGAATGGCCACCGGAGCCGGGGCCCAGCACAGGGCATCTGATGCTCCTGGCTCTGCTCTGAGGACTCCACGTCAGCCTTTGTACAGTTGAAGAAGGATGGGTGAGGGCACCAGCTGGAGTGCAAGCAGGGCTGGCCCAGGCCAGCTCTGTGCGTATGCATGCCATAGGCCACCTGCAGCGCTTACTGAAATGATAACAGTTAAGCTATTTAAATTAAAAACCCTCTGTTTTTCCCATCACCCTGAATATATAACACTTTTTGCCCTATTTCCCTCCACCCCTTTCCCACAATTGTTTTTCACACAGTGGTAATCGTGATATATATACTATGGTGATATATCTTTTGACCCTTGCTTTTTTTTTTTCATTATTCCTGCACAATAAACAATTTTACTTGTTGCTATGGTGTTTCCACAATGTTCGTTTTAATAGCTACATAATATTTTATTCAGGGAATGTGCCATAAATTATTGAACCATTTCGGTTGTTTTCTTAGTTAAGTCCCCATTCTGTGATAAAACACTCATGTCAATACACAAAATAACTCATTTCACTTTTACTATGCCTTTTGATACTTTGGCTCTTGTTATTTTCTCTTAGAGTTGGATAGAATTTGGAAGGTAAGAACCCCATTTTTAATAGGATGCTCATGGTTATCTTAAGACATTCCACAAACATTCCGGATGCTGTGATCTTCTATTTATATCCATCTAGTCAAACACACCAGCACCCGTCTCCCCTTTTATGGAGTTTTGTGCACGTTGGCTGTCCTCCTTCACCTTCTCCTTTCTCATTCTGCACTGGTTTAGTCTGGGGGGGGGTCTGACAGCCCTCCTTAAAACACACACACACACACACACACACACACACACACACACACACAACTTGCTTCTTGTGTTTTGTTTTTCATCCAAAAAGGAAACAAGCTAGGTTGCCACGGCGTTCCTTCTCTCTCCCTCACTATGCCTTTTTTTCTCCTTGCCATAATAATTTCCTAGCTCATCCATTTCTCTTTAAATTCAGTACTTGACTTCATCCCTCACTTGAGTATTCTCTTCAGGAGTGTTCCCTACTATTCAATTCTCATTATCAATGGGTTTGAGGACACCTGGGAGCCCCTGTCAGGAATCAGGTCATCAGACCAGCATGGAAGGTAAGCAAGTGCCCAACATTGGAGGCTCCCTTCCTTACTTTGGCCACTATTAAATGAGCCACGTAGACCCCTCCATTTCACCCTCTCTTTTAGAGACACACATGTATATATGAAATACAGTACCCTCACTTCTAACTTCCTTTAATTTTACTATCAATAATGTTACCTTTTCAGGTTCCTGGTTTTGTTATTTTCTTACTGGATGTTGTGTATTTTGCAGGCTGAATCTTAAAAAAAAGAAAGATAAATGAGTCAATTTCTGCTTGAGTGAATACACAAAGATTTGAAAGTTAAAAAAAAAAATAATGGAAAGACATTCCCTGATGCGGTGACTCAGATAAAGTTGACTTCCAAAGCCATTTCAGCCAAAGGCCAGTCATTATTAATTATACCCAAACCCTCGTCCATGGCAGACTGGTTGGAAGTCCCACTTTTGATACTCCCTGGAAAAGGGACTGCCCTGGTGAGGGTTGGATAGTCCGGTTCCTCGGACCACTGCTGAAAATCTATCCTAAATGCCAACTGCACGCTGAATGTGCACTGAATATGAACTGAGGTGCTTGCCATGCCTTCTTATTGGAAGAGGAGAGATGGAGAATTGAGGGCATCTTCTTTCTTTTGGGGCAGCAGAGCCTGGCTAGCTATGTACCAAACCCATTTCTTTTTTTTTTTTCCCTGAACACACAACAAGGAGACATTTCCAACTTTCTTTGAAGTTAGGCCATGTGACTGAATTCTGGCCAGTGGGCTGTGTGCAGAGGTGGTAAGGGCTGCTTCCATCCTGGTCCATGGAAGGCTACTACCTACATATGCTTTCTTGTACTCTTCCTTTTGTTTTCCAGCTTCACACAGATGGATCTGGTCATTGTTTTGGAAAGCACGTATTGAAGATAGCAGAGCCACACCATGGGAACACACCAGGTCCCAGAAAGTCTGCGCTGCTAATGAGGAACATAAATTTGGGGATTTATGTGAGCAAAAAAATAGATTTCCATCACGTTGCTGCTCATACTTTTTTTTCACTTGTTTGTGACATATGGAGCTACTCTAACAAAATACACCACCAACCCAGTAACTGAACTGAGTCTCTTCATGAATTCTAAGTCATTTATTATCATTGTTGTTCAAATCCAGCCTGTTGGTGTGAGGGCCAAGTAAATGCCTTTCAGAATCTGAAGTGCATAATTTTGGTCACTTATTTCGGGTTCTGCTGAGGATCCTGCACCATTATTTTTTCTAATGAATGATTTCATAAGCATTATTATATAAAGTAAAGAGAAAAGGTCTCTAGAGTTTTCAATGCCTCTCCATCTTCCCAGGAGCTCTATATAATAATCATTTAAAATATAAAACAATCTAATAAAATGACATGAAGATTTCCATGAACTCAAGGAACCAATGAGAACAGACTTTGTATATAATATTTGCAGGCAGATGAATGCTTGTCGGAGTCAGAACAATGCCCTTTAATTAATTTATTGTACTGACCAGGCATCCTATTTTCTTTTGTGTTTCACTGCTTCTCCCTGACAAGTTCAACCGAAGCGCTTTTCGTTTTTTAAGTAATAAGTCTGGCTCTTAAAAATGTGTATTTCTAGCTCGACACAGCATGACTTTCTCATTTGCTGTGTATGAATGGAGTAGTTGATTTTCTTTGGAATCACTATATAAATCCTCATATTTTGCTTGTGCCAGTGGTGTGCATGCACACACACGCTCACAGAGTATCTGTGCTGGGGAATTCTGTGAATGTGAAGGTTTTCCCCTCACCTTTGAAGGTTTTCCTCCCCAGTTGATGGGGGTCGATGAGGTGCACCTTTTTTTAGGGTTATCAGCCTCCAAAAGATGCAGGAAGAGGAGAGCCAGTGAATTTGTGGGTGTTAAGCTGTTGGATATTCTGGATGCAGATTTTTAAAAAATTTACAGTTTAATAAAACCCAGCTGACACCAAGTCTTATGTTTATGAGATATGAGTCAACAATGACATGCCCTTAAGCTATTCCAATGAAAGGAAAGTTTCTAAGGCAAGCAGCCATTGGTTTTGTGGGAAGCTGAGCCAAGCATGTTCCTCGAGCCTGTGGGGTGGATTCTTTCCTCATTTCAGGGAGACTAAGAAATCGTCAGAGTGAGTTCCAAGGCAGATTTTTTCCCTGTTAGAAAGTGCAGTCAGAGACCAATTTGGTCTGTCCGTATCGTTCTGACCCTCCTCGCTGTCAAAGCCAAGGACTTTGCTGTGAACGGTCATCTTGAGGGTGAAGCAAGCTCAGGGATCGGTGGGCCTTTGTCTAGGTGTTGTTTACGTATTTGAAGCTTTTGAAAGTCTTTCCTAAAAGAGGTCTTGTGTAATGAAGGAAGATGGCTTTGCAAAAGCAAAGATGTTTCCTTGTGCCACCATTCAATTCCTGGCAGGGATGTTTGTCCTCCTCAGACTCCTCCTACTATGCCATCAAAGGTGACGCCACAGTCCCCACATGGCCTCATGACATATCAGGTTGGAAATACCCGTGCGTTTAAGAAGCACAGGAAATAGTAAACTCTCTTCATCTTCTCCAAATAAGCTGAGCATTTCCCTGGAGGGAAAGTATTGTACATATTCGCCTTGAGGAAGAGAATACACCCTCTATAAATTAAAACCTCTTATTTTAGTTTTCAAAATTTCTTATTTTCATTAGGAACTGAGAATAAAGCCAACTTCTCCTTGGACCTGAAAATACAGAGTGACAGACACATCCCAGACATACAGTTGATGAACATTTGAGTAGGATTTCTTTGCAAAAGTTTATCTGTGGACGGGAGGTACACAGCTTGACTCAGTTGTAAAATACTTTTTTGTCATGATTAGATATGGCCTTATATTAACAGCCTAACCTATACTAGACACAATATGATTCAGGGGTTAAAACATATCATCAATGATCATGGTTAGAACCAAGGAATTTCAATGGTAAGGCTACTTTTAGGAAAGCTCTTTCCAAGTATATGTATAATATATTATTTGGAATTCATATTTAATGAATTCTATTATTCAGAGGGCCAGCTTCCAGCAAAGTCAATTATATACAAAATATAACTTAAGACAAAGAGGTTTGAAAGAGAAAGAGAGAAGATGAAGACAGAGATGAAGAAGAGGAAGAAGAAGAGGAGCAGGAAAGGGAGGGAGGGAGGGAGGGGGAGAAGCAGAGAGGTGCAGGGGGAAGGAGGGGAGACAGAGGGAAGGAGAGAGGGAAGGAGAGAGGTCTGCTTCTGACAGGGGTGTCAGCTGCAATAACACTGTTGTACTTTACTCCACTAGAGCTGATCTTGTCCTTCTTGACCTGACTCTAGGAATGATTACGTTATACCTAGACCTTGGGACACAGTCACCGGAGGTGAACTTGGCTACTTCCTGCATTCATTTGCTCCATGATGTACACCAAATATATCCTCCTCAGCCCTGAGCACTAAATTGTAAACATAAGACTGACAAATAAGAGTTTGTCCAGAGAAAAATGACTAGTATATTAAGCCTTGTGAGGCCAGAAAACCACCTCTAATGAGAGAACAACATGGAGAGAAAAAGAAATACTTAGCTGAAGACAGAAAACTCAGTGGAGACCCTAATTCTGTTCTCAAGTGTAGAGTGGCTATAAAGAAAGAAAAACTGTTGACTCACTCTGGGTGAGCTTCATTAGGCAGGCAATTTGAACAGGGAGATTTCAGCTCACTGGGATTATGACTCAGTAATCCAAGATGAAATGATCTGTCCTATACATTCCTTATCACGGGATCAACAAGAGATCCTCGGTAATCCTGACAAGGAAACTGTGGGTGAAGTTCGCAGCGGATGTGTGCCATCACATGTTTCTATGTTCCTTTTCTGCTCCAAACTTCTGTGGTTTTTTGTTTCTGTTTGCTTAAGACAACTCTACCGAATTGATGGAAAAAGGCCAAGCTTTAGAGGCAGAAATATACTTTATGCCAAGAAAGGCCTATCAATAGGTTTGCTGTCATGTTAGACTTCACATGATGAAAGCAAGAATAAGAGCTCCCTATTCCTGTTAGTTCTTGATATTGGCTTGATGTTGTCCAAGTTCCTCTACGTACACAGCTAACCTATCCCAGGCATTGGAGGTTTACCCCGCCCCCCACAGCGATGTCCTTAAAAGAAGATTTAGTAGCATCTGAGCAGAAAAATATAATTCTCCATATCTCATCATCTAAAGTGCTACATACAGGGGCGCCGGGGTGGCTCAGTCGGTTGAGTGCCTGACTCTTGATTTTGGCTCAGGTCATGATCACAGGGTCATGAGTTGGAGCCCTTCAGAGTCTGCATGAGATTCTCTCTCACCCTCTCCCTCTGCCTCTCCCCATCACTCTCTCTCTAAATAAATAAATAAAATCTTTATAAAAAATTAAGTGCTATGTACAACTCACAATACGTTTCCCGCTTAAACTTTACAAAAACCATACCCAGTTGTTACCATCCCCTTTCTACAAGTGAGAAACTGAGGGAAATTGGAGCTTGTCTACCTATAGTATTTTAACATGGCAAATATTTTGGAATGGAGAAGAAGAAAGGTTTTTTGTTTCAATGATGTTAATTCACCAAGCCCATGGAGTACCTATTCTGTGTCACTTGTTTAGTAGGTCCTATAGAGAATTTATAAATGTGCAGTTGGTGTAACTGCAAGAAAATTACTTGAAAAGCAAAACTAAAATAAGAACACCTCCTAGGGGACATGATAGAGAAAGGTGTATCTTTATATGCAATAATTTTGTTTGTGTTATCTACGCATTTAGGACTTTATTCCTCAGTAAATCATTTGTAATAAAGCAAAGTTTTATTTTTGAATTCCTCAAAATGTTTGAAGGTTTCATAATACCATCAAAAATATAAAATCTTAGAGATAAAGCTGGTAAAAGATGTGCAATCCTTGTATGCTGAAAATGACAAAGCATTGCTGAGAGAAAGTAAGGAAGATTTAAATGAATGGAGCAATATACCACGTTCAACTACTGGAAGACTCAAAGTTACGAAGCATATTCGATCAAGTTAAGCTGTATCTTCTGCATGGTCCTGATAAAAATCAAGTCAGGGTTTTTCTAGAAATTGACAAGCTGGTTCTATGACCCACGCAGAAATACACAAATCACTCTGACAGTAAGAGGTAAAGGCAGGACTGTGGGCATTGGAAGTTCAGTCCATTTTTTTTTTTTTTTAATCTATGTATTCCCAAACCCAGTACGGTGCCTGCCTCCCAGAAAGAAAATAATCAGTAAGCGTTTCATGAATGAATCCATGTTTTTGCTTTGTTGTTGTTCTTGTTTTCCTAAATAAGCTAGATTAGATGGTGATACACTGGATTCAGTTAACATCTTCTCTCTGACAATTTCATAGTGTGTGAATACACAGTAGAAACACAGAGGGGGAGATTCTTGTCAAGACATGTAGAAGTGTGTTATTGGTGATCGGGAAAAGTGCAGTCAAATGGTTCTTCTAGAAATATTCCATTTCAGAGGAAAGACGGCCTGCTCAGAGGGACTGCATTACTACAAAAACCGAAAGCTGTATTTTGGTCACAACTTGAATTTTCGGTGTCCTAATGAACTCAATGCCCTCATTCCAGTGAATACTTCCCCTGGCCAAGATCTGATCAAAACCTTCCAGCCACCCATATTCATGTGTTTTTCTCAACCTGGGTCTCTCCCAGGGACACTGTCTGACACTCTCCAGTGGTCATGGAGGCTTTCCTGGCCCTTCAGATCCCTTTATTACAGCTTGTCTTCTGGTTTTAGCTCTGACCCTAGAAATAGCACCTAAAGACAAAGCAATTCTCCATTAGTGTCTTCTGACTCTTATCACTTGTGTCATAACTTTTGGATAGCTATGCTCCAGTATTCCTCCTCATCAATTGTTTAAAAGGAAAATGTGAATTTAGATTATTGTTTTGTTTTACTGGAAGGAGCCTAATGACTAGAGTTTGAACGATGTTTTGCAATGTCTGTTTCCTATTAATTCTGGGATGTGCTTTTGAATATATATCCATCCATCCATCTTGACACCAATAAAATTTAGAAGCATCTTACAACTGCAGTTGCCCAGACCCATATTGTTATATTCACTCTGGCAAAAGTTGGTTAATATTCTGGTAGCATGACAAGAAAATGGAACTCTTTTGATGTTTCAGCCAACAACCATTTAAAGACCGTTTAAGGAATGAACATGAATCCTGGTTGTTGTCTGAAAAGATTTTATTGACACCTTTTGGTAATATCAAATATCTGCCAGGATTAGAAGTTACAGAATGGATGTAAGTGGCTTGGATATAAGTTTTGAAACAATAGTGGAAAGTTCTTGTTGGCACAGAGGACAATATTGTGTGAGAAAAAAAAAAAGGACATCAGTAAGTAGTTGAAAATTGTTTCAGACACGTGATTATGAGTAGGAAGTAATTTTAGTAGCCCTTAACCAATTAACTTTACTTATATTTTCCTTTTTATGTTTGCATAAGTGGTATAAGATTAAAAATAATATCTCACATGTCTAAAGAACATTTTCAATAAATATAAAATATAAATTTTCTGTGATAAAAAGCTATATGCCATCATTGAATCACCAAAAAATAAGTAAGTGTTCCCTGGATTCTTTGAAATCACTAATTTGAAATACCAATTCTTTGAAATACCAATTCTTTGGCATTAAGATTTGAAAAGTTGAAAAAATATTTTAACACAAAATTTCTGTAGCCTTTATCCTATATAAGTCCCTACACTAGGCCTGGGGAAAGTACAGACAGGTTGTGTAAACCAAATAAAAAGCAACTTACAAAGAAGTGAGACTGTAAATAAATACTTTTAATAGCATTAAAATGATAAGGGCTTTGCAAAGGGTCATCTAACTATGTACTGTGAAGAGTTCAAAGATAAGAAGGATGATGTCCAGCCTAAACTGAAGATAAGCCTTAAAGATTGTCATGTAAGCTCAGTGCAACTTACACGTAGGATTTTCACAGACATGGATGGTGGCAGACCTATCACAGGGGAAAAGAGATCACCTTTAGAGGTGTGCTTGGTAAATGACAAAGAGTCTAGGCTATAACTTATGGTCTGCAGAGGAAGTAGAGGGCCATGAGGCAGGCACAGAGCAAGGCGCTAGCTCATAGATGGTCTCAAATCCACGGCACTTGGAATTCATTGTAGGATCAATTAGAAACCATGGAACGTATTTACACAGTAAGTACGTCTGATCACATATCCTCAAAGAAGCGGATCCCGGTATCGCTTGTAGGGTACATTTGTGTTGGGATCAGGGGCAGGGAGGGAGGAGCTAAGGAACACAATGGAAGAATAGAAGAGATGGAAGAGAAAGTCAAGTTAAAACTTTCCCTGAGAGATCTTTGTTTTGAAATGGTTTACAGATAGTCCCCTGACAGTACCTGCAAGCGCCAATCAGTGGTGTCATCACATCCTACATGACTGAAGGAACGTCCTCATGGTGAGTCCATACTCACTGTTATAATTTGCATTCTTCATTCAAAAGAGTTACCACCTTTGAGATATGAACTAATTTCTCTAATTATATTGTGGGCTCAGACCACTGCAATGAATGGCAGGTGAAATCAGGGAACTATCAGGGTTTGTGGAGTGAGGAGATTGTTAACAGCACCCTTGACTATGGTGGTCATCAGTGGAGAGAAGAAACTGAATATATAGTCCCCACAATACTAGATCTCAAACTAGCTGAGTTATGAATCTTAAGCTTGAGAAAGAAAACTAGCAGGATGGAAAACACACACACTCACACACACATGCACACGCATACACACTCATGCATAGACACATACGCACATACATACACGCACACAGGCTTATGGATGTGAAAAATATGAAAACGCAAAACACTTTTTCTATGTTTTTTAAGGTGAAGCAATGAAGAGTGTTAGAAAGAGCGTACAATCTTTTTCTCAGCTACATTTGAGTTCAGTCCTGATCGTGTGACTCTAGGCAAGTGATTTAATGAGCATGTCTGAGCCCTAGTTTGTTTATAGTTATATTGCAAGTCTGTCACTCTTACTTACAGTTATTTTTTGGGAAGGAAATTTTCCTCACAGCAGAGGCTTAAGCTTGGCCCAGGTGCCCTGACATGCACAGGGCACTCTGCTCATCAGAGACTTTTCAACAAATACCTTGAAGTCAACCTGTCATAGGAGAGTGAGGTCAGCAAGGTCAGTGAGCACCTAGTGTTTTGGTGAAGTGAAACAGAGCGGTTCCTCGATGGATGAATCTGGCCTCAACACAAGTAGTATATGTTTGACCTGAGGCCAGTCATTTGCTTTCTCTGACCCTCCGATCATTTATCTGTCAAAGAATCACGTTAAGATTGCTAACAGAATTCAATCAGTTTATGGTGTCTGCACATGGTAGGTACTCAACCCCGGTCTCTGTTTGGCCAGACAGATATCCCTGCCACTGTAGGGACATTTCACTTTTGACCTCTGTTGTAAGCTGGTTCTCACACTTTCCCTCAGCACTTCTGGCATGTTCCGATGTTATCTCACTCAGCAGAGATAGTTCCTGCGAGCTGACCTTCATCTTCAACCGTCAGGTTTTTTTGAAAAATTATCCTTCAGAACGTAGCAGTTCATTTAAACCAAGTCCAGACAGAAGAGACACCACCCACCCAGCCGTATGTAGTGTGAGGCTTGGTTGTATCTCTTGATTTAGAGAGGTTCCTTGCTGACAATTTGTGGAATTTGACTGGTAGGAGCATGAAGAAGGAAGAAAAAGAAACACACACACACACACACACACACACACAAACACAAACACACTGCATCCTCATCTGTTAAGAGTACATCTTCCAGAGAACAAATTGAATGTTCTGTCTTACAATCAATTAAAGCCCATTTAAGCGCTCCTAATGAATGTCCTATGCCATGGTGCTTGAACACTTTCTAGTAAAAGTGATGGATTCAGTTAAACCTCAAGCCAGATTTTGGGACCACGTCTTCATGCTGAAGGGCTCTGGAGAAACAGCATTCCAGGCCTGTCCACCTGCATGAATCTGATTGAGATCAGATTTTAAATCTTGTTTCTGGTTTTCTTCTTTTCAGTATTGGTGCTGTCCGGTGTCCCCTTCCCTCCCCAGTGCTTCTTGTCAGCACCCCAGCTGACTCTGAGGATTAGCTGTGCATCCTCCACTGAGGCTCTACTTGTTGAAAACAAGTGGTGCCAAATGCAGATGCTTTGGATAGAGATTTGCTTGTTGTGGATCTGGACCACGTGCACACCCTCTGGCGTCTGTGAATAGGATGCCATATTCCAGTGGTTAAAACAACAAGGTCTAATGTTTCCATTCATTTCAATCAGCAAACCATGAAGAGTATGTACTGGGAATCAGACTCTGTGCTAGTCTCTGAGGTGGGGCAGGATGATAGGCACAATGGTGATGATGTGCAATCCTTGCCCTGGAGGAGATTATATTTCAAGTCCTGTGCCTGGTGCTGGGGGTCCTATAGCAGCCCTACACTCCCGAAGCTTACAGCATAGTGAGTACAGGGGCCACCGACGAAGCAAGTATGATGAGTGCTGTGGTAGGTGAGGCACTCAAGGATGAGGACTTTGTAGCAAGTTGGGGAGATATTCTAAGGTAGCCCAGGCTGCAGACAGTGGTGGCCTGAGCAGGTTGGTGGTTTCCAGGGCACGAGAAAGGAAGTAGATAAGAGCAATAGTTAGGAGGGAGAGACAAAGGGTTTTGCGAGTCACTATATGTAGGGGCTGAGGTTAAAGAAAACCTGTAGGCATGAGGAGCCAACCTCAGATAGTTGTCGCCATGAATGAAACAGAAATGCAAAGCAGTCTTATGGCCTCACCATGTGGTTTAGGGACAGCCTCAAACCAAGCGGTGTGGTAAATGCCGTGTTGTCTCAGAATATATGGTATTCCTCCTGGTGACACCAGGGAAGGTTCCAGCTGCTGGAGCCGTTGGCCGCAGTAGTGGCAGAATCAGGACTTCTCTGTAGGAGCATGGGTAACTCTCTTCATGGGACCATCTGTGCAGATGTGTTTGTCCCTGGGATTTGGCCCACGGGCACTGAAGTTAACTTTAGAGTTATAGGCAATAAGGAGGGCACATGGTGTGATGAGCACTGGGTGTTATATGCAACTAGTGAATGATTGAACATTATATCAAAAACTAATGATGTACTGTATGTTGGCTAATCGATTTTAAATTAAAAAAATAAAAGAGTTATCCTCAGAACTGTGGATCCAGGATGATGATAGCCTTGGTACAGAAATACCCTTATCAGAGCTAGACATAGGCACAAATGAGAACATATGAGGATCTTGACATGCCTTTGGGGGACGGGGTTGGCATCTAGATATTCAGGACTTGAAGAACTGGATGCCAGGTCTAGTTCTTGCTAACCCACTATTTTACCTTCTTGGTTGAGAATATGCCCTTCCTAGCTTCATTTTCCCCTCTGTAAACTGAAAGTTTGGACCAAATAACATCAGGGAACCTCTACCAATCTGATAGTCTGTGTTTTTGTTTTATAATTAGCAGATGACAGGAAGATGCTGTTTATTGTCACAGGCCTGACTCTGACGGCTGTATTTGGGTACTTCTCTTGGAGGCATTTGTGAATGCATTCACGGGGATACTCTAGAATGCCAACTCAGTGATAGCCAAAGAATAGAGCCTGTTGAGAAATTAATCATTAGCAGTTGTGATTTCTGAGCTTAGAGAGAAACACTGGCTGGGGCAAGGTGGTCGGAATTAAACCCTCAAGAATGAAGTGGCTAATATTTATTTATTATTTTTTTAATTTGGGAAGTAACCACACATTCTGAACCAAAATTAGGGACACAGTATTTCATAATGAGGCAAATATTTATTATTTGGACTATTCTTTAAAAATCTGGAATGCATTATTTACATTTCCAAAGTTGATAAAGTTGTAATAAGAACTTAGTCTGGGCAAGGCCATCTTTTAAGTGCTCTGATAGTTTTCTGTAATCCATACAGCACACATCGTTTCCAGTAAACAGCCAAGGAAACAGAGTCACAGAGATGCTGTGACCTGCCTCTGGTCCCACAGTTACTTCCTATCAGAACTGGTACGTGAAGCCAGGCCAGTTGAAACCGAAGCCTACCGTATTTCTTCCCCAAGGTTCAGAAGCAGCACTAGAGGTCCTGATATAAACTCTCCTTATTCTCCATTTAAGAATTCTCAGTATTGGGGTGCCTGGCTGACTCAGTCCGAAAAGCATGTGACTCTTGATCTCAAGGTCGTGAGTTTGAACCCCACGTTGGGTGTAGAGATTACTCAAATAAACTTAAAAAAAAAAAAGAATTCTCAGTATCTGCAAAAAACAATTCCATAAACAAAACCAACCAACCAAGAAGAAATGGAAAAAGAAGCCTTGGCTAATGCAGGGATCTCAAAAGCAACAAAGGCACACGTCTCTTGCTGGAATCAAGCTGGAATACTCAAGTGTCAGGCAGCTGTGGTTCTCCCCAGGAAGGGGTCTGTGAAGACGACCCAGAGGCAGGTGTGGTCCTGAGGCAGCTGTGTAGACAAGGCCCCAGGGGGACTCGGTTCTGATGCATTTGGTCAATAGCGATGATCTCTCTGGGTAATTAAAACCAAAGCAACCTCTTTCCTCATAGCTAGTGTGAAGGGCTGCACTAATCTGAAGCTGGATCTGGTTGTTATACTCTGTGCAGCCTCACCAACTTCATCCTTAAAAAGGGGATGATACAGGACAGTTCCAGATATTGGATGAAAATTAGTAAGCAAACCACATTGCTTAATGCACTCATGCTAGCTGCTATTGTTTGGATTTAAATACTATTTTCAGTATCCAAGAAAGACTAAGGGTGAGTAGAAGGTCGTTGAACCAAGACTCTCCAAAACAGGTAATCATGGAGCTGGGACTTAAAGGTGTCTCGTGTGAAGGTGGTGGGGGTTGCACCAGCCCCCAGTGCTTCTTTCCCCACCAAGGGTATCCACCACAATGCACTTCTATATGCCCGGATCCATGCACCTGCACATTCTAACACATCATATTCAATTTGGAAAACCGGAGTCTGGACCAAACACGGCAATGACGGGCGGGGGTGGGATGTGTGTGTGTGTGTGTGTGTGTGTGTGTGTGTGTGTGTGTGTGGCGGGGAAGGATAGCAAGAATGACCTATTGAAATCAGCATCAAATATGAAGAACAAATGACACGTGTGATTTGGACAAGTAGTTTAAACTCTCTGAATTACAGGGTTCCCACCTGTAGAGCAGGGGTAATGAAGGTAGAAATTTATAAACGTTGGGAATTATTACAGCCTCTAGTCAGAGAATTATTTGTAGTATGTATGGAAAAATCAGCTTCTCATTGACTAACGTCATAGTTCTCTCAAACACAAAGATAGCAATGTAACATGCTTCTCTGCTAAGACATATGAAAACAGCAGACAAAAAGTACATTATAAGTTCCCA